CATGCAGCAACACGGGGCTCAGGCTGAGTAAATATCAGCCAATGCACTATTAGTACGTAATGACTGATTCCTGCAGACAAGCAGTAGTGCGAGGCACAATTAGGAAAATACTGAATTATAGAAACTGTAGCATTAAAATATGCTGGAAAGCAATTAAATTTGTTCCAACAGTGTGGAGACACTACAAACTGATCACATATGTGAGGAAAACACTGTGCAGTGCACTATGAGAAATGAGAGTGGCACCAGATTTCCTAGAATCTCATTTCATGGTGGATGAAGTTTTAGTCACAAAAATGCTTTTGTGTCTGCCCAGCATGTTACCAGCCACATTAGGACTGAAAGCCATCCTACTAAGAACATTTTTGCTCAAATCCTCATGCTGCATTTGTTAGCAGCACTAAGGTAACATGACTCACATTGGGTGCACATTACTAATTCATTTTTTTTAATGTTACTTTTCTGAAAAGTCTTAAATGCACATTTGCAGCATGGGCAGTATGTGGCCACCTCCATCCCCCTTTTCCACTGTTATGTTATACTCTCCAGTGCGGAACATTTTACACATGCTGTTATCAAACACACTTCACTGCAAGAGGCAAACTCAGGTACATCACCCATCTTACACTGAAACATGAGGTGGCAGCCAGTCGCAGATCTCCAGTGCACATTTGTCACATGCATACGGTACATTTATAGGTATGCTCTTAACAGAGGTGTACACCTCTGATAATCTGGCTGAAATCCACTTAACTACTACAAAATTGTAACTAGCAATGGTGGTGGTTAAAGAGTTGCAAAGGGGAAGACTGAAGCCAACTCATCTGTGCTCTTGCCTCTTGCTCTCTCCCTTTGGCGTACAACAGATCTTTATACGATGCATTGTATTAACTTGCAGGGTCAGGAATGATTCTGATGAATTTTTGGTTTCTTCCCAACCTAAGGATTCTTAGGAGACTAAACATCTCCAGTGCATTTAATCTACTTGACAAAGAGTTTCCAGCATTTGCTGCTCTGATCCTAGTAATTATGTTTTAAAATACAATCAGTTGTTCTCCGTAATCATAGTCTCCACGTATTCTGCAAGGCAGTTATGCCACTTAATAACCCTCATAGGGAAATGTTACTTCTTTTCCATAGATGGGAAGTATAGATCGAGGGATTACTTTTCTGTTCACTGCTAAGTAATATAATTCTACATTTTTGTATAATCCGCCCCGTGCAGAATTGACATTAACCTGAGGAATGCCTGAGGAATGCACTGAGGAATGCCTCTTTACAATTGCCTTTTGTATACTGGGATTTGGGCTGCAGAAATTGCAATCAGGGTGTGCTCTAATGATAATTACAAGCCATGATGTGAGTTAAAGACCATTGAGGAAGGGGGTGGGTTAGCTAGCCTGACATGTAGGTGAAATGGAGGCTTTTTCCAGTTATTTTATTATTTTAGTGAAGGTTCTTATCCACAATGGCTATGGGTAAAGAAATAGGATTGCAATTTAGTGCTATCCTATAGTCTTGTGCAGTCTTCTCCAATTTTGCATCCTCTAGATTTCTGGACTACAACTCCTATTATCCCTGACCATTGGCCATGCTGGCTGGTGCTGATGCAAGTTGTAGTTCGGAACATGTTGAGGGCACCAATTTGGGGAAGTGTGGTTCTGCAAATGTAATATATTTCATAAATAAGCACTGTATGACAAATACGATGTTTTGCATTATATATATTTTAACTGAAGTCTCTGCTTAATCTCAAAGGAATTTAAATAGTGCCAACCCACTGACACATAAAATTATACTACTGGCATTAGCTCTCTTTTTCCTTTGACACATTTGATTGTAAATATTCATATGCCAAGTTATCAGCAAAAAAAGGTCTCTCTCTCACAAACAGAAACCTGGAATACCTCGTGAATGGTGCTGACACAGGCTTATTTCTTTGTAATATTTTACCCAATTCAGTACATTTATTCTTCCTGGTGTTTTTATCACATTACCATATATGATTTTCTCCTAGGGTATTTGAGAAAGAAAAATACCCAAAGACACATAATGAAACAGAAGTGTATATACCAATTCAATTTCCAGGGAATAAGATATTGCATATCACATCACACTCTGTAAATGTCTAAGGGATTTTCTTTTTTAAAAATGAAGTATTGTGGCTTCTGTGTGCCTACTGTGCTGCAAATATTTCTGAATGTTGCAGAGTAGATAAGTGAATGCTTCCTCTCCAGCACAGGGGCTATAAGACAGAACATGCTTGAAAAGGGAGGGCGGAAAAGAGGTCAAAAGAAAGAGCAAGTTGACAAGGGAGGGATTAGACTGGAACCATAGCCAGGATGTAGCTCCCATGTGTACCAGGCACTGCCTATGGGAGCAGCACCTGAAAACTGACTGTATGAAACATCAACAGAGTCTATACACTTCACCCAATAATTATTGAAGCCACCCTCAACTATTCAAGCTATTAACAAGTGTATTTAGGCTAGCCACCTATGTGTTCATATGTATGATATGATCTTCCCAAGGTAGCAGGAAGACATGAACACACTCCCAGCCACTTCTGGTCCACATCCCCACTTCTGGACCAGATGGTTGTATGCTTAATCCATTGGGGGTTATGCATTAGAGGTATTTAAGCACTGGCCAGGGATGCTGTGCTTAAATCCTGCACCACAGATCCTCCTTTCAATATAGGGTTGGACTAGATGACATCTAAGGTTCGCCCCAATTCTTTATTTATACGATCCTATGTGTGAACCTGCTGACATGTAATTAATGTGCTATGAAAAACAAAACAACAACCCAAGAATATGTTTAATTTACTGCAGACTTCCTGGCCTAAATCACGAAAGTAGGGCAAAGCCCTCCACTGAAAGTGAGCCATGGTTCCCAGAAACAAGTTAAATGCTCTCTTGCTAGAACCCCAGCAAATTGAAAACCCTGCGTTAATTTAAGGCAGGCTATCTACTTCAAGGATTGAAACCTGGAGCTTACCAACCAGTCACCCATTTTTCTTAGTGTCAGATGGTCCATTAACCCCTCATCCTCCCCCAACTGTCAGGGGCTGCAGAAATTGAGAGCTTGATAGAACAGCCACAATGCTATGACAACCTGATAGTACCGGGAAATGTTTCAGATGTGAATTTACGATAAGAGAATGCTGTAGCTAAAATATGAAGAAAAATGAGTGGAAAGAGAGTAAGAAATAGCCTTGCAAATTTGTCCTGACAACCAGCAGTAAAATCTTGCGAGAACAGCTTATCCAGTTGGAGAACACTGTTACTTCTTTTTACATACAATTTATTCTGCTCATTTCCAAGACTCTCTTTTTTTAAAATGTCACAATTATACTGCAATAATTCACAGCCTTTAAACATGAGGGCACATTTGTTTTCTCAGGAAGATTCAATGCATGGAACAACTGGTGACACAATTAATATCAAATATAATTTACATTTATGTAACACATTTCAAGGGACGCGAGTGGCGCTGTGGGTTAAACCACAGAGCCTAGGACTTGCCGATCAGAAGGACATTGGTGAGCTCCCATTGTCTGGTCCCTGCTCCTGCCAACCTAGCAGTTCGAAAGCACGTCAAAGTGCAAGTAGATAAATAGGTACCGCTCTGGCGGGAAGGTAAACAGCATTTCTGTGTGCTGCTCTGGTTCGCCCACATGACCCGGAAGCTGTATGCTGGTTCCCTCGGCCAGTAAAGCGAGATGAGCGTCGCATCCCCAGAGTCGGTCACGACTGGACCTAATGGTCAGGGGTCCCTTTACCTTTAACACATTTCAAAGCGTGAAATGCTCTTCACTAATATTTATTTCTAATCCTTACAACAGCCCTGTAAGGCATGACAGTATCATCACTTCCATATTGCAGATCTGAGTGAAGGTTGACAGAGAATAAGGAGCAGCCCAAACAAAAGTTCCAGACAGAATGGGGGAAATGTAGAGAATATTTTAAAAAACAGTGTCCCCGATAAATACCTGGTCTTGTTCCGATTAACTTCTGCAGGAAGATTTATGGTTTTTAGGTTACAATTTGGAAAAATCATAAAAATAATTCAAAAAAGAAACAGTTTAGAAGGAGAAAATAGAAAACTGTGTACAGGATGAAGGAAGTTGAAAAAGAAGAATTTGGAATGAAAATATGGTATATATATATATGTGACAAATTTCTCTTTTAATTTTTCTGTTTGTTTTACTGGAGTAAGCTAGTTCCGGTTAAGATGGCGTCTGAGGCAGCAGCTTCTAATGGATCTCTGACCCTATAGCTCGGCTTTAAATGTTTTAAATGCTTTTTCGCAGCCCACTAGTTTTAATTGTAGCCCCCTTGTTGTTTTACTTTATTGGCCTATTTTATTGTTTTATTGCCAGTTGCCTATTACCGAAGACATCTCACCAGCTGCAACACCTCACCAGCTGTAATCTAAAAGCAGAGAGTTTAGGACGAGTCACCGCCTCACAGAGAAGGAACACCAGATGATACCCCCAACTCCAGAGTCTGTCGGAGAGGAATTATAGAACGACTGCAATCTACTCTAATTACTGTGACCTGCTCCACCCCTTAGACTCCCCTCTTCTCCTTTCTTCTGAGTTCTGGTAAAGCACCAGAAACGAGACTGCTGCTGCTTTTGAGGTGGAGGGGGTGGCAAGGGGGTGTTTTACTGTTTTACTGTCTTGTTTGTTTTGTTTTTGTTGTTGGTGTAATTGATTTATGTGCTAAATAATTTCAATAAAATTAATAAAATATGAAAAAAGAAGGTTGGCATAGAATAGTTGCCTAAGAAAAGCAAGAGAGAATTCGTGGCTCTTTCTAGTGCTAAGGTGGAGATTTCCTAGTTCATGATCCGAAGCATTGCACACCAGCTCTCGCTCTCACCACTTAAATTCAACAGCTCTAGGAAGGCAGTCCACACATGTGCTCCATTGTCTCCTCTGACTGACAGCAGCTCTTCAAGGTTTGGGGAAGGGAGTCCCTCTAAGCCCTCCCTGCAGATGTCAGGGATTGAACCCGAAACTTTCTGCATGCAAAGCAGGTTTCTACCACTGAGATACTGCCTTCTCTAGGTCAACCATCTGAAAGATCAGATACAAACAGCAACTGAGGCTGCCTTTATTTGCCTTTCGCCAAAATCATACAACTCGGTTTAATTTTGAATCCAGTGTCTAGTTCATTCAGAGCAAAGCCATACTTATTCTCCATTTAAATCATTTATCTGATTTTCAACATTTTTAAAGATGCAATCCCCTTGAATATATCATTACATTTGGGTATCAAAGAAATATATCACCTGAACGCTTCTGAAGTCTCATTCTAAAAGGATCTACTCTTTGACTGTCCCACTTTTTTCAAGGTAAACAATTCCGCAGAAATCTTAACTGGGCAAGAAACTATTGCCATGTACAGAAGCAGACTAGATACCAATCAAGTTTCATTGCCTCTTAATACATCAAAGGTATGTTCAGCTGATTGTTTAAGACTCCAAACAAATTCAGATGCAGCCTGCAAAAACAAAAAAATGACTCGCATAGCATTTGATTCCGGAAAGTGCAAATTGAAAGTTCCACAGCTGGCAAATTACAGTCCTTTTTGCAACCCAGCTTGATTTATTAGATAAAAGTAAACAATACCTTGTGCCTCGTTTCTGTATCAAGATTTGAACACTCTCTCCCCATACTAATAAAAAGTCAGGTTTACCAATTAGCTCTCCGTTCTGAATGTCTGCCAATGTGTAATTGTGTACACTAGGAATAAATTGTTTTAGTATAAAAAGGTTCTTCTGTACAAAGAAGATTAATTGCTAAACAGAACAATAGCACATTTTGGCATTCCATCACCGATGCAGAAAACGTGGCCATCTAGTAAGGACTAAACTTCATTAACTTTCTGTAAATTTAATTGATGATATTGTATTTAGAATGGCAGCTTGATGTTTGCACACACAAATTTCTAGGCTAGCTTCTTAACTTCACCCAACACATTCAATGCATCCAAATAAACACTTAAGTTCCGGGACTCCAGCATTAAATATAATCATACTGAATAGAAGTTTGACATTGCTTTGACATACCCAACTGTAACCAACATGCCACAAATCTCTGGTTAATGTAGTGCTGTTCCTCCGTAACCTTATATTGGAACGGAGAGGAACATTTGTCTAGATATCAAGAAAAGTCTATGAGAAGCTGCTGCTCACAGCATGTGCCTTGCGGAATCCTAAGTTTTCCATTTCAACATCATGCTTCCCATCCATACATACCCTGAGTAGAATAATTCCAATACTTATTCTACTAATACTAATTCCAATTAATTCCCATGGCTGAAATTTAGCATCTAGAGTCAAAACATATTTATCCTAGGTATTTTAGTGGCTCAAGACTCCTTTGGCCAGAGGCCTACAGCCAACACTTTGCCCTATTTTTTCCTGTTCCCTCTCAAACTCTTTTCAGTAGCAAAACTGTGATACCCTGGATCCTGAAAAGAGATTTCTGAAGAGTTGCTTGTTCTATTAGTTCTAAATGGGTTTTTGTAATGCTTAAAGCTTTGATAACTGAACTCAACAGCCTGGATTTTTCACTGCTGATTTCCAGCAAAGGTGTTTAATTAGGATGTCTCCCACTTCTCTGCATATAAAGGAAAGTTAAAATTACCACCTTCTAACTTACAAGAAAACCACAAAGCATCAAAATCTCGCTTGCATACACAAAACACAACACTCTGTGCCACTTCTGGTGCTACTTTGTTTTGTGAGTCTCTCACACCTCCCATTTATAAAGAGAAACCATCAGCATCATCTGGACCAACAGCACCATACCAGGATGCTGAAAGATTCCCACAGTGCAATATTATAAGCTTTCCATCACCTTTGTCATCTATGTCTTGACACTATTTTGAGCATGGTCTGATTTAGCAAGATCACCAGTTGTTCCTTGCCTCTCTTACCACCAGCAGACAGCTCACCCTTCCCAGACCCCAGTGCAACTAGGGAAGCAACTTACAAAGCAGCCCCCTCCCTAGTAAAAAAATAGGTACAGATTTGCATAAAATGTCCATGTATTAATTTATAAATTCTAGATTCAAGTTTAGAAATAATAATTCATACTCAGAGTAGAGTCACTGAAACCAATGGATTTACATTAATCTCACCTCACTTAAACTCACTGATTGAACTCACTGATGGGTCTACTCCAGCTGGGTACCATACCCTTACTGTAATACGATACAACTCACAGGCATTTGAAAACTGGCAGACACTGTTCCTGGAAACCTTGAATTAATTAGCTACAAGGCAATATGACTGTTTTACATAGTTTTTTGAAAACATTTTAGATGCTTTAAAAAAAAATAATATTAGTAATTTCAATGTAACATTTTATCAAAAAACATATCATCCACACACACACACACACCCCGACTTTCCTCAGCTCCTCTCTCTGGTTTATCAACATATGTTATTTTCTGCATGTTACAAAACTGTACAGATCCTTAATTTAATTATCCAAATGTTATCAATAAAAAGTTTGTGAATGTTTATTCAAAGCCTGCCAAGGAGTCCAGTTCGTTTTGTTGTTTCTTTAAATACTTTGTAAAGGGTTCCCATTCATCTTTAAAATCACAGTTATCCTTGTCATGTAGTTTGTGTGTCAATTTTGCCAATTTTGCGTAGTCGATCAATTTTCTTGCCATAGTTCTTTAGTCGGGATTTCCTCGTTCTTCCATCCTTGTGCTATTAAGACTCTTGCCACCGTTGTCGCATACATAAAGATACTTTTCAGTTTCCTTGTTAGATGCATTTTTATTGCATTTAAATATTTGCATACTTTTTAAAAAATTGTTTAGCCACTTTGGAGTTTTCTGTCCTGGATTGCTTTGGTGAGAAACTGCAAGGCCCCTGCTGTCCATGGTCCTTTAGCTTTAAACCATATTTGGACCAGACGGCCTTTCAAACAGACGCTAGAACTCGTGGACATCTAGTGAAGTTGAATGTTGGAAGCTTAAGTGTTGGAAGATTCTCCACACCAGTGCATAGTTAAACTGTGGGTTTCACTCCCACAAACTTGAGTGGCTTTAAAAGATGATCAATCAAATGTCCATGCTGTGACTCCACAAGAGGAGGCAGTAATACTTCTGGACAGGAGTTGCTGGAACCCACAGGAAGAGTCCTGTTTGTCGGTTTCCTACAGCTCTCTGTGAGGACAGGATACCACTGGCCTAGTCCGGCAGGCTCTTCTTGTGTTCTCATCCTCTGTACACATGGACAGAGTTATTTCAGTGGTAAAGCGACATGCAGGTAAGTTCATTTGTAGGTGAACAGGATGTTAATTTTGGTAAACATTTTACTCACAGTCCCATCACATATAAATCAGACTATAGGTTTGAAATGACATGGTCATAACTGCAAAGCAGCTCTCCATTAGCATGGATGGGGAAGATGGATCTTCTTGGCTGGGAGAAAAATGAAAACTTTTCCAGCCACTATTACGGAGGATAATTTTCATCTGCTTTCCCTTCAAAATTTGTACTCAAGCTGTCTAAATTATAATGCCAGTATAGCGCTGAATGACATCCTGACTTTACATTGTCAATCTAAGCCTCGGATGTGAAGTGTGACACAAGACACCTACCACTTTTTATTTCAAGAAGTGTTGGTTTGTCACTTAATTAAGGCAGAGAGGATGACAGTTCAGAAAAGAAGAAGTTGCTTTTCTGGCAAGGTCTGACACACTGGCCATGGCTTAAACATGATAAATAAGTCTATGCAAGAAATGCTCAAGTGCTGCTTTAAACCTTAAGGCTTACCTTTGGGAAATGAGGGCTTACGTGACAATCTACTAGCTTTTTTTAAAAAAAAGTTTCTATGTAAATGTGACACGTTTCTAAGGCAATTGTCAACATTCACCGATTTCTCCTTGAGTTTTCAAAACTTCAGGTTGTGTTTAATTGTGGTTTGCTTCAGTGCACATGTAAGAGTGCTTATGACATTTTTCTCTCATTTGAATTTCTCCCCAGATTTCCAGGTTCAGGGGGCCAAACTAGATTTTTAAAATAAATCACAGCTCTGCCCTCTCAGATAAGCCTCTGTCATGGTTCTCCACATCTTGAAGGTATTAGGAGGATTAGCATTCACAGGCCTGGCTTGTATGGTTCTGTCAAAGCTATGGTTGTAACTTTTTCAAATTCAGGCAGCACACTGATATGCCAATCTCAGGGTCGTGTATTCAAGCCCCACATTGAGCAAAAGACTCCTGCATTGCCGGGGGTTGGACTACATGATCCTTGTAGTTCTTTCCAATTCTATAATTTGATGATTCCAGTACACAGTTTGTAGGTATCGCCACATCCATGGCTTTCCAAGTCTAGTTAAACCTCTCCACTATCGCCAGCTTGACTTCTTTATGGGCCAAAAGATGATGACTCCCATGCTGTTTTAACAACTGAGTCACTTTCTTATTTAAAAGCTATTTTCCACAATCTGTTTGTGATTTCTGAGGCATTCAACTGTCCTTGACACCAACTCTGAAGGCCCTGAACAGCTCTGCCCTCTTTTTGTATTTCAAAGGTACAGTCTAAGCAAATTTGGATAAGATATCCACTACTGTTAGAATAAATGTATAGTCATTATGTTTCTCTAGGAATCTGCTAAATCTGCTTGCCACTGTAAATCAGTATCTGAAACAATTGTCTTGATTCTTTTAAAGTGAATCTTGGCCAGTTTATGCAGGCTGTAGGCAACCCAGTATATAAACTATGCTTTAACTTGGTTTTTAGTTACAAGTTTTGTTCACTTAGACACTTCTCTAAAAAGGAGTTCCACTCCTCCAAAACTTCCATTTTTCAGTAAGGAAGCCATCACACAAAGGCAGCAGTTTGAATCTGTAGATTTCGTCTAACAACAACAAAAACAGACAATTGTTTAACTACTGTATATATAACGAACATAATCACTCTCATTGGTTGTCCCATCCAACATAATACACACTCCTGGAACACCTATAGGGGCCATTTCTTCATAGATAGAGACTGGCATCATTGACTCCTAAAATACGTTACCTTTATT